TAGTGTTGTATGCCAAGTGAATACAGTTCCAAGTAACTATAGTGAACTAAAACTGTATCCTGCTAAGGATCAGGCTGCTTGGCAGGAAGCAATGAATAAGGAACTGGAATCATTAAAAAAGTTGGAGGTATATGAAAATGTCAAGTTACCACCAGGTAAACATGCCATAGGATGTAAATGGGTTTATAAGCTTAAGACAGGTGTAGATGGGACTGTTGCCCATAAAGCCAGGTTAGTACCACAAGGGTTCAATCAGACAGCAAATGACTACAATGAGCTGTTTGTACCTAGTCTGAAGGCTACTACATTAAGGGCAGCATTAGTGTGGGCAGCTAAGGAAAAATACATTATAAATCATTTGAATGTAGAGACGGCATATCTGCATGCACCATTGCAACAAACTATATATTTAAAGAAAACTTTAGGTCTCAAAAATGATAATGCAACTGATTGCTGGAGATTGAAAAAGAGTCTTTATGGTTTGAAACAATCAGGATATGAGTGGAACCAATATATAGTTAAAGAATTAACTAAGATAGGTTTTGTAGCTGGTATGGCTGATCCATGTTTGTTCAAAAAAGAAAGTAATAGTGTAATTTCATTGTTGCTATTGTTTACTGTTGACATAGCATTAATCACCAAAACTGAACAAGAAGCTACTAAAATAATGTCACTGTTAGAGAAGAAATTTAAGATAAAACAGGAGAAATCAAACAATATTTTGGTTTAAAGATAGATAGAACTAGGGGAGGATACAAGATCTCACAGGCAGATAAAATTAACCAATTGCTAAAAAGTTTTTAAATGGAACTTTGTAAGCCGGCTAAGATACCAATGAGCCAGGAGTTTAGCCATAGTGATGCTCAAAGTCTTGTTTTTGCTAAGAACATTTATCAGTCCTTGATTGGTAGTTTATCTTATCTCAGTAATTTTGATCAATTAGCGAGATTTAACGCAGAGCCGACTGAAAGGCACTGGCAAGCTGCTAAACGTGTGTTAAGATTTCTGAAACAAACAATGCATTATGCATTGTATTTGGAGCCTAAAGTTGAACTGAGTCTAACTGCATATGCCGATGCAAGTTTTGCTACAGACATAAATACACGAAAATCTACATTGGGTACTGTAGTATTATTGGGAAAAGTATTGATTGGATGGAGGTCTGTTAGACAGAAACATCTAAGTTTGTCAACAACGGAGGCTGAATTCTCATGTTTGTCTTTATTATGTACAGATTTAGTTTGTTATAAGCAATTATTGATTGACATGGGAATTGATGCAACAGATTCTATTGTTGTTTATGAAGATAACCAACCAGCGATACAGATGGCTTCAAATATTGCTGTTAAAACAAGAACAAAACACACAGATCTAAGATATTTAAATGTGAGACAATGTGTGCAAAGTAAAATGATTAAGCTGGAATACTGTATGTCAGAAAACAATATAGCTGATCATTTTACAAAGGCCCAACGCTCTGTAAAGCATAAAGCTTGCTGTGAGGATTATGGACTTAAAATGTAAGGTTGTATATATTGTCCTACCCAAAGGGGAGAATGTTAGGTATGTAAGTCACCTAACAGCTATTTGGGCTGGAAATATATAAACCAGGATAGACATTTTAGTACTATGTCTTTAAGAGAATGCAAAAACTACAATTGGGTGTCATTCTGCAAATGGCCATAAGATGGAGGCAGAAACCTGGGTTGGTTTAGTCTGAAGAAGTCTCAGAAGTCTTAGTGAAGTGAGTGAGTCTCTGTTTCCTTCTGTTGGAAAGAGTTGCCGTTCCTCCATTTTTTCCTATTGTTATTCTTGGATTTGATGTAAGTCTGTTAATGAACTGTTTTTGATACTGGACTTTGATGTTGGAATTATCCCTGAAATGAACACTGACTGATTTACCAGCAAATGACTTGGACTGCTTGTTTGGACTGTGCTTAAATGTTTATTGAAAGTGAAAACCTACATTAACTGTACAGTGTATCTGTGTGCTGTGTGTGTATTATTCAAACACTACTCTCACTACGTCTCCCTGTATGCGCTCATTCTCCTAAGGGAGAATTACCTTAACAGAATCCTTGGACTTTCTGGGAGAAGTTTTTTAGATTGGGGAAACCAATGCCTGTAACCCTAAAGAGCCAATTACATCCAGGGTAGCTTGTAAACATACTGAGATGAATGGGCCAAAGCTGATGTGGTCTGAAACAGCTGTACTTTCCTGGTACTGTACCGTCATTTCCTAGGGAAGGCTAGATACTGATAGAAATTACACACACTCACACACATATGTGCGATAGAAATATTAAATATAACATATATAAATTTCTTCACTCAGTATACTATAATTTGAATATACAGGTGTAAACATAATTATGAGTATACGATAATACAAAGAAAAGGCTTTTGACTGTATGCATTTCATAATTCTCCAGTGTCCGCTGTCTCACAACAAAAACCTTTAGGAAGTTAATGATTTGATAATCTGCCTCCCTTTTTAAAAACCGAGTAAAAAAGTTGCTTAATGATTTGCTGAAAATGTATTGTCTTTGAAGTTGTCTTGATCTGAAGTTGTGTCACTCCCAGAAAAAGTTAATTCTCCTAACATGGTATATTATTTTAATCGGATAGAAATATGGTATACCCAAAGATGATCAGCCTCTTTTAAGGAAATTACAATTTAACCAGCTACAATTGTCCATTTAACCAGTTACAATTATATTCACTGCTCAGGTAACTATACATAGGTATCATATGGATATATTTAAATTAAATACACAGGTAAGATAGATGTATTCTATTGCAAACAAAAAAAAAAAAAAAGCCACAAAACAGCAAGAACCTAACTAATCATACAAGTTTAGATGTTGGAGCAAATATCACAGAATGTGGCATTTCTTTATTGCACTGTCCTTTCATTGCCTTTCAACCTTTACTGGTTGAACAGTGCCCAGTAATTAGGATGAGGCAAATTCCACTATTGAAACAGAATAACTTTACTGAGACTATATGTGATTGTGAAGCTATTCCTATTTTTACTATATGAACAGCAACATCTACACCAGTGGTCTCTAACCTCTCCAGCTTCGTGGACCAGCAGTGGTGGTGGTGGCAGTTGAGAGTAGAGGATATGGTTTCATACATGTGCCCACTGCTTGTGCAAATGGAGCTTCATGTGTTCACACTCTTGCACCACTACCACCCCGCGTGGTCTGGTTCCCAATGGACTACGGACCAGCACTGGGCCACAGACTGAAGGTTGGGAACCCCTGATCTACACTTTAAACTATAAGTTGTTGTTTTAACTGAAGAAAGGTTAGGAAGGATCATAACAAAGAAATATTGTAGTTCAGTATACTCCTAATAATTGGCAACAGTGATCAGGTTGTCACTGTTCAAGGTGCAATCTTTTACTACTAGGAGGTGCAACCTAAACATCCTTACAATTACAAATACCTGAACTGGCAAAAACAAGCCACTTACTAAATGCTACCTTTACTGAGATTTTTCCTGGTATCCCCTTTAGCTTTCCATCCTGCTTCCTTTTTAAAACTTTCTATTTCAGTTATGCAAAAGATATAGACATTGTCTTCTTTCTAATTACGTAGTTAACGATCACGTAATCCCAGAAATATTAATTAATCAAGAGATTTCATTTCAAATGACTTATTCAATTTGATTTCTTTGAAATTCAGCTGTGTATGAATTCTTAGTTATAGATAATAATCATCTGGAATAATAAAAGGCTTTTTCCTGCTCCTACTGTCATGTTGAGATAATGTACCAATAGCACCCACTGCATATTTGTGGTCAAAAGAGAGGCTTGAACTCTAATACTCTGTCTCTCATTTTGCTGATTTCAACCCACTCTGAATGGTGCTGAAATGTGCATATTTTCTCTACTCTGAAAATGAATAACATTTCTGAACAGATTCTAGATTGTCATTTAGATTTTCTCAAAAGTCTATTTAATATGAACTAATATATATTTAATCACATATGTACTCACTGCAGACATGCTCAATATATGTACCATATGGATGTACACATTTCTAAGGATCTCTATCATGAGATACAAGCCACCAAAACAGGAAATTAAGAGACACTTAAAAAAACAAGTCTTATTATATTGAATAGGAAAAATATTCCATTCTGAAGATTAAGACTAGATTCAGCTTTTCCAGGTTCGATAGCTATTGATTTGGTCTATTATTAATGATCTCTTATTTGATCTATGATACCTTGTTATTTTTTCTGTAGAAGTTCAATATGTTTCCAGTATCTCCCAATAAAATGAGATTTCATAATACATAATATTTGGGGAGGGGGAGATTGATTTATGCAAGCTTGTGAGTGGGAATTGATGGATAGTATCAGTTCATTCATTGATGCTGTAGACGAGTGTCTTTTGACAAACTGCCCTGTTTAACTCCCACTGTAGCCTGTGAGGTTTTTTTTTTAAATGTCTGCTTTCGATTCAAAGGCAAAAAGATATCTTGGTGCCCACAGATGCACAAACACAACACCTATCTATAGTTTCTTAAACCAAATGAGTCTTCTCCCAGGATGTGTAGCAATTGTGTATATACCAGAATATATTGGATCTGCTTTATGGACACATAGATTGCTAAGCAATACTTGAGCTTAATGGTCTTCCTTCAATCAATTTTTTAAACATCTCTTGGTTGTAGCCATTCCCATTTTTGATGCAATCACTTTAGATGTTTCCCATTTTTCTTGGAATAGTTATTATATTTTAGTGATTCCTCCACAATACTTTTTATGGATTCTTTTCTCTATTGATACATATTTTATTTCTAGAATATAATTTCCAGTTTACTAAATTCAACTTTCTTGGAACTCAAGCATGTATTTCCAGATCTTTATTTTTTTTTTAAAAAATGCAGCCTCCCTCAGATGCCCTTTTTCACTCTGTGGAAGAAATTTCCAGATATTTGTAACTTAATTAAGAAAGTTCTTAATATAAGTATTAGTTATTTTACCTGTATGTTGATCTTCAATGTAGGTTTGCAGATATGTGAAGACAATTAGACCTGCTACTCCAAACGCCACTACAGATACATATATTAATTTCAGATTCATGGCCCTACTTTTTGAGCAACTTCAGAAGAGGTATAGCTCACTTTTCAGAGATTATGCATATTTTTCCTCCTCTGGTTTTTCTAGAAAAATATGATCTGGAAAGATACAATAAAAGAATTGCTATTATTTTCCATTTCTCCTACAACTTTTATGCACAGACAATTATATTATAACCATTTTCTGTAATCAACATTAGAATTTAAAACACCTCTCTGATCCATACCTCAAGATTCACAAAGTAGGCAGCTGTTCTAATACAGTATTCCTGGCAGTGTTAGGAAACTTGACTTAAGGAACTTAAGGTCAAAAGAAACTGAATCAAAACACTCAGCATACTAATGAATAATTGCTTAGATTTATGAACCACAGAAGTATATTAATCTACAGTGCTCCAACATTTTCTATTGCTTGCTCATGCATGCTTGAATAACATAACAAAGGCAGGCCTTTTTTTTTAAAAAAAAAGAATTATTTATCTTCATTTTTAATGTGCCAAACAACAGCTTTGCATCCAACAACTTGCTATTTTGTGGAAATATATATTTCAAAGGAAAGGAAATTTGTTCCACTTCAATCACGTTTAATTTGCAGTACAACAAATGATTTTTCACATACTTCCAATATCAACTTGCAGATAAGATAAAATGTTTACTAACTTCACATAGATCTATGTTCGTATTTTAATTGAAAGCATTGTGACAATATTTATCAGATATATTGAAAGTATGAAACTGGAACAAGAGCTATCATCTGAATCAGCACGAAAAATATTCAGAAGGGCATAAATATAATAGTGAGCAAAAAACTTTAATCAAGACTCTTCCATGAGTCAATAATTATTCAGCCTCTACTTTCTTCTTTCTCCAACAATGAATTCTCATGGAAAAGTGAATTCTTTTTAATATTTTCTCTGTTTTTCTTTTGGTCTGTAAAACAATAGTAGGAAACTCATCTACATGAGGGTTTATGCCAAGGCCAGTAGCCTCAGTCAGTGGTCTATTCCTTGTCGAAGCTTTTCTTCCAGAAACTTCCCTATTTCCTTTCTTTTTGATAGCAAAACACACTTACAGACAAAGGCAGAGCCTACTTCTTGGGATCCAACATGAGCACGGGTGCCCATATTTACTCATAGCACAATAAGGAGCTTTCTCCTTATTGCACTCTCTGGAGCTCTCCATCTACATTATCTTCATCAAAAGATAGTTACTGGAAAGATCAGAAGCTAGTTAGCCATTCAGCACATAACAAAGTAAATAAATCATTTTACAGGCTTGTACAAATACAAACAAAACTTAAACACCTAATATATCACAATGACGTGAACAAGTCTGGTCCAGGTGATATCTCTGAGACCCAGCTTCTTGTTTTGAAACCACTTGAACTTCTCAAAGTCTGTCAATTTCAGCAATATATTTTTATAAAGCAAAATGTTATGTAAATAACAAACATAAAACTTATTGCACTTATTTTACATTTTACAAATCCAATCAAAGTCAGATTCCTAACCATGAAAATTCCATCCTCATCTACTCTGGTTTTGTTATTATGTTATTTTCACACATACCACTTAGTTGAAAGTAGTATCTTTAAAAAACTCCTGTACCTGATACTGTGTGCTGTATACCAGCCAGATTAAATAATCACTTTTCCTACAAGCTCACTCCTTAGCTTTTCATGGATTTATTTCTAGACCTCTCTGATTGCATATGTTAGGTTAGCTGAAAAGGCAAATAACAGAATTTGTACTCCAAAGTTAATAAGATAGACTGCTATGAATAAATATACTACCAGAGGAAGCTAATACAAGTTATTCATTCTGAGTTATATTTTTATATGCCAAAGTAAATCTACAAGCAACTCCTATCAAAAGTTATACAGTGTACAGTATATATTAATCCATTTTCAATTTCACAGACACCAATTAAGACAAACCTTCTTAACAGCCAGATTCTTACCAGTGGCTTGAAGTAAAACATGCTCAAGCTGAAAGTATGCTGAAGGATAACCTTACTTGCAACTCAGAGCATCAGAAGAAAAGTATTAATTTAAATTCCTTTCTTCTGCCACTCAAACACAGCAGGATGTTATAGCTGACAAAAATGTAATGTGAAAATGGTCTGTAGACTGGAAGAAAAAGTAACACTACAATGTGTTTTCAGTGCTAGCACATTATAATTCAGTTGACTCTACTACAGAGGGAATATTAAACTGCTTAGTCCCTTCAGGAAGCAGAGTATAATAGTGATTATATTTAAAGAACTTTCTGGTAGAATAAGACAATGATAACAAAAATATAAAAATAATATTTGAAAACAATCATTTCAAAGTATTTTATATTTTGTTTAACATCCTGATAGAGACAGGATGTCTATTGAGACAGCCCTATGAACAAGTTATAACATTATTTCTTGACAATCAATTGGTTAGGACTATATGAGATCAATACAATCTACAAAAATAACAGCTTTACATCATTTTACTTTTTCACTTTATTAAGCAACATATTATCAGGCCTGACAGCACTGTTTCCAGTTGTTCATTCACACCTTCCCAGCAACTTGAGTTAATGTGACTGAAATTTTACAGTACATTTCTTTTTTCAGTTTTATTTTAAAATTAAGGATGGGAACAGAACCTTTCTGGGTATAAAACCAGTCTGAATATCAGCATTACAAATCTCAACTCCCAAAATTTTATTCAAAACAGCCAGTTTGATCTAACAGTTAATACACCAAGCTAGAAAGCAGGAGACAGTTAATTCTAGTCCTGCCTTAGGCATGAGAGCTGGCTGGGTGACTAGGCTAGTCTCTCTCTCTCTCTCTCAGTGCAAGCTACCTTACAGAGTTGTTTTTATAAGGAAAATAGGATGCGGAAGGAATGTTAGGTATGTTTGCCCCCTTGAGATATTTATAAAAATAAAAGTAAGAAAAAATAATGCCTTCCCCAAAAGCAGTTTAAAGTGCTTTGGGAAGTCTGGAAGTTTGGAAGGGTGGAGATCAAAAGGGTTTTCCTCTCAAAAGCTTCTGAATCCAATTTTCACTATTAAAACACTTTCTAAATATTTTTTAGGACAGGAAAAAATTATGTTCTGGCTTTTCCAGTGGCATGACATCAATAGATGGGATTCCCGAGGCCCTCCAGAATCCAGATTAAAGAGTTGCAGCTGCTGCCATCTCACTTGCTGCATGCTTCTGATGTAAAGAACAAGTATCATTTAAATAAATTAAAAAAAAATCAAATTAGAAATTGGTCAAGAAATTAAGTATCAGTAAAAAGACACAGAAAAAATGGCATGATAATTAACTGCTGCACATGCATTTATATTACATATAGGAAAATGGCAGCTTATTTTGCACAGAAAGTTCTAACGTTCCATTTTAAGGATCTTGTCTGAAAAAATCTGTGACAATTACCTAAATATCTAAAGAGAGATTAGTAAAGATGAACTTTATTTTCTCTTTCTAAAACAACTTCTAGTCCCAAGGTATGCATAGAATTCATGCCATCCTTAATCATATTCTTTAGAATGATAGACATTATCCTTGACATAAGAGGCCCTAAAGCTGGGAAATGCTAGGGTGCTTGAATAGATTTGTGAAGCTAAAGCAACATCAGTGATGATCTTTGCCCTGACAATCTTTCGGATTTTGAAGGAAATTGTTGTCAGCTAAATTTTATCCTTTATTTTAATGGCTTGTGAACTTTAATTTGTATTCACTTACATAATGGACAGGATCTAAAAGTGTATACAATTAGTCCTGAATGGGCCTTTGGATTTTTTTTTTAAAGCAACTTTCTTGATTTTCTTTGTTCTGTACTCTGCACTCAAGCTTCTTTGAAAATTAGGAAAGGTGTCACCCAAATATATTTCTACATCTTAGCCAATGTTTCATGAGATATAGAACAATGTTAAATAGGTCCTCATGCAGAGAAGTTTTCTCCACAAACTTCAATGGTAAAAATAGTTTGGCACAAATTAATAAAGCCTCCAAATGGTACATTTAAAAAAAATCATGTTGAATTATAGTTAGTAACTACTATGTATAGAAAATAAACCATCTGTTTTATTATTTGCTTCTTTTTTTATATAGGATTGTTTTTTTGCCATTTCAAAGTAAGGTTTTTATAAAACATGCTGATCATTTTACTACTTTATTAATTTTTCATTTTTAAAGCTAGTTTATGGCTTACACTTCTCTTGCTTCTCTGAAACTTTGCTAGTTTTTGGTGCTGTTCTCCAATTCTCTTGCCCAAATGGGCTATCATAAGAACAATATAGACAGCATTATTCTTGGGATATGATACTCTTGACAGAACATTTGTTGGCAAAAACTGTTAATGATACTTAAGCATTTTCAGATCAACAAGCAAAAGTTTTGACTTAAGCAGTTCAGATTTTACTGCATATAGCTATTGTAAAATACTATGTCATTTTGGAACAGTAATGAACTTAGGGCAATTTCCATTTTAGAAGTTTGGCAGTAATCCTGATTAAAATATATGGTATTTGAAATTCTGTTGTGTTAAGTTTTAATTAAGAGTTGTGCACTTCAAGCTCAAACTATCTGCACATTAGATGCAGTTTTGCATCTGTTATTCTATATAAGATTTCTGCAAGTGTCACCTTGATTAATCTGAGCAGTTAACGCAATGATTTCTGATCTACAGCCTGTGCTTATAAGCCTCATTAAATCCATGACTATCACACCAAGATAGATCATTGCCTTCTGTGTCAAACATAGCAGGGGTTGACTCTTCTATTTTTTTTTTTTTGTAAGTTTTATTTGAGTTTTCACAAAAAGAAAAGAAATACAAGTAAAATATCTTTTTTGAAAGCAGCATAATCCCGGGTTACATTTCTTCGTAAAGACGCAAATTCAGGTTCATGCTCATTTTTATATTCTATTCCATATCTTATTACTATTTTACATTTTCTACATAGCTTCTCCCCTCTTTTAATTTTCTTAATTTTATTTTATTTATTTCATCTCAATTCAAATCATTGTATTTATATTTTTTGTCTGTCCTGTTTCAATTGTCTATTATCTTTTCTCATTAAACAAAATTTCTCCTGTAGTTACTGACTGGAGTATGA